GTTCTCAATTCGACTGTATGTTTTTGTGTGTTTGTTACGTGAATACTTCGTCAATTATAAATCGATTTTTAAAATTATTTTTTATTCGACAGCTTAATGGGCCGAGGGAATCCCATTTAAATATTATAGAAATTGAATTAGTAGTTTTCTTTTTATAATTCAACAAAATATGCTTTTCATTCGATATCACCTAAATATTTTGAAGACATGTTTATATCAGCGAAAAAACAAACGATAGCGTAAAATCCGAAAAGAGGAATTTGGTTGTTCAACGGGCTTTATATTTTTTATGCAAACCAATTTCTTCGTGGTTAAGTCGTGCAAATAAATAAAAATTTCAGGACTTTCGTCATGTAAATATAATTTCTTTTATTTTTTATCTTTAACAATTTTTTTTATACGTCTGTTTTAAGATTAGATAAAAACTCTCGCTAATGGTATACGAGCAGTTTAAATCTTTGGTTTTAGTTTGTATTACTTTATGGTTTGGATCAGTGGATTTAGATTATATTTCTATTAAATTCTTTAATATTATTTATTATATGACGAATGTATTTTATGTATGCTGTAGTGGTAGTTTCTTTATTTATCACTGTTTGGAGATCATACGGGTTTAAATTATGATTGTGATTAAAGGAGTAACTAAATGTTTGTAAATATTTAAAGCGGGTATTATTGAATTTGGGACAATTTTCAATTAAATGATTGAGTGTTTGAATAGTGGTGTTATTACATGGGCATTTTTCGGTAGTTTTAATTTTAAAGCGATGTAAATACTCTAGTTGGTAGCCGTGGTTAGTAAAGAGTTGTCTAAGGTTTTGTTCAATGAATAGACTCATTGAGCATGAGTTGTTTAGTATGTAGTCCTGTATTACTGTTTATATATCTACTATTGATTTCTATTTCAGTTTCTAATTTGACCATTCTTTTATGGTAAGACACCGGGAAGAAGGTGAATTCTAGCGCTGTTTTCATTCTTTAACAATTTTGGTTATGATACCTATGCAAAATATTTAGTAGATTAATACTTGTCAACTTGTAAAGCCAACTTAGGTGTGATAATTTTATTTTTAACTTATTATAAATAATCCTGCCGAGACGTTTGAATTTCTTACAACAACCGTTTAGTTGGTAGAGGGACATTTTAACGAAAATTGGCACTTTGAAGATTAATATGTCACAAACGGTTAACTAAATCGAAACACACCCCGAATTTAAAAAAAAAACTTACCATTTTAATAGAGAATTAAGGAATGGGGAAAATAATATTTCAAACAAAAAATTACCAAGTAATTTTTAATGCCATTTAGTAATGGCTAGGTTAAATTTATCACAATTCGTATGCTAACGTAATATATGTCATTTAAATTGTCCATAGTTGTAGCTATTTATACCCATGCAATTTAAAAAATAGAGGTATTTAAAAAAAAATAAGTACCTATTTTTTTAGTTTTTCTTGTAGTCTTAGATACGATTAAGATAAATATCCCCTCATATGTTATTTGATTTTGAATAGGTTTATATAATAAGTATATAAAATGTAGATTCATAATTAAAAATCAGATTGCCTAACTAAATCAGGGCCAATCACTGTAAAATAATGTTCAGTGTGTATTATTTAATTTTTTTATCAATTCCTCTCATATGTTACTCATGAAATCGAGAGAACACGTCTCACATTATAAAAACATATAGGTTACTTTCATTTTAGGCTAACTGTAAGAATACCGGATACAACAATAAAGATATCTGACAAATACCCTCAAACTTCAATGTAACAATAAATACCTTAGATATAACAGGCATAAAAGGGCTCGTTACGTCACAGCTTTGTAGAAAAAATTAATTTATCGTACGTTATTGATTACGAAATAAAAAAAAAATACGTGTTTAATATATTTCAATAATGTTGTGGTGAATTGGAGCCGGTGGGTTCGTTGGCAGATTCTTCAATCAAAAATCACATTGCAGGATCGAAATGTTTCAATGCTTTTCAACTTATTATATGATCACATGGCCGTCTCGAATATTGTAATCTTTGCTCAGTAGTATCTAAATTTCCCTTTCACTTTACAAACGTCAAAGATCTTACCACAGACTAATACAGATACTATAGTATTCGTTACAAATGTACTTAACGGACATACAAAAAACAATACATCATTATCCCTATTTTTCAGAGATGCGACAAGGCAAGCCGATTCAAAATGATTAACCTACATACTATGAAATTTATAAACTTTGTCACAATCAAACAACATATAGGATAAATTTTACATGTACTAACATCAGTGGAAATTTAACCTAAAACGCTAATGAAGAAATGTAATAATTGCAATCTGACCGCATGTATTACAGTGCACGCTACGCCACTACAGTTCACTGAGCCAGAAAATGAAGTACAACTACAGATTATTCTGAAAATTTCTACTTCTCGTACAAAATATGTGTAAAACTAAAATTAACTTAAAATCATCTCCACCTGTTAACTTCTACGCAGTGTATAATTATCATTAGTTTAGATTAGAACAACTCGATAGGTCAATGGTTAGCGCGTTCGTTTTACGCTACGGTGTTAGACAACTTTCGTAATGGCCTGTCATAGGATGGTTGACCGCCAATTTTTAATCTTGAGTTCTTCCTTCGCAAGGCATGTTAAGCCGTTTGTCCAGGCTGATGATGACGATCATAATGATACCGTTTAATTCCATTTTCATTGTATTTTTTTTTATTGATGCCTGATACGCAATCGAGAGGTCAGGCCGTGATGAATGAGCGAGTACGAGCAGCTCATTTACAAAGGACCACAGAATTTTTCTACTCCAAGGGACACATGTATGTTACGCGCGATTACGACTTTGAAGAAGCTTCAAAGGCTTCATATGGCTGTATCGGTTACTGCTAAAACGAACATCCTTATGATATGGATTCATTTCTGTAGACTTTACGCACATCGCGAGGCAGCCTCACAATGCGAATACCTGCCTTAACATTACATGAAGGTACCTATACTAAGATACAATTTGCATTCACTTTTGGCATGTAGACTATAATCTTTAAGGGTCGACTATAAAACGTGTTTATTTTACTTTAATGAAACACTCCAGTGCTATCAAAGTGTTATTAAACTTTTAACGAGCTTAAAATAATGTTATTTTCCAGTTGTTTTTAATGTTGAGTCAAGCAAATAAAGTTCTCACTAATTGGTTTCGACGATCTCAATTATATACGAGGGTCAAACTGAAAGTTCTTAGAACTGGCCACTTATAAACAATATAATAAAAAAATAATTCTAAAATTTGAAAATATAACTCTTTGCCAATATTACTGAGTATATATTTCATTCATTTGTCATTTGTTTTACGATTTGGCGGCAAATTGAAAATTGTCTGTGTCACGTCATCATGAATTTAACACGAGAAAATTTTCGTGCAATGATTTTTTATGACTTTCGATGTCATTTAAGTCAACAAGAAAGTTATGATAGACTACGATTGGCCTTTCACGATGAAGCCCCATCTCGTGCGACTGTTTACAACTAGTTTAATGAGTTTAAACGTGGTCGCACTAATCTCACTGATGATTTACGTGAGGGACGGCCTTCTACGGCGACGACTGAAGATAACATCTGTGTTGTGCGGCGTATGATAGAGACTGACAAAAGAGTGACCTATCAACAGATTCGGACAAGCTTAGGCATCGGTATGAGTCAAGTGCACAAAATCCTCCACGAACATTTAGCGGTCAGGAAGCTTTGCGCCCGGTGGATACCTCATAATTTGACTGAGGCTCAAAAACTCCATCGTGTGGATTGGTGTCGTAAAATGATTGAAAGATTTAACGGAGGTGACTCAAATGCTGTGTTCGACATACTAACAGGTGACGAAAGCTGGATTTACTGTTATGATCCTAAAACCAAAAGACAATCTGCTCAGTGGGTGTTTCCTTTCGAGGAGTTGCCAACTAAAGTGAAGAGAGATCGAAGTGCGGGAAAAAAAATGGTGGCCTCGTTCTTTGGAAGGATAGGTCATTTTGCAACAATTGTGTTAGAGGATCAAAAAACAGTTTCTGCAGAATGGTACACTACCAATTGTTTGCCACTTGTCTTGGAAAAAGTTCGAGAGAAACGACCTCGCAGTAGGATCCTCCTTCACCACGACAACGCCTCGTCGCACACCGCCAAGCGAACGATCGACTATTTGGCGACATCAAACGTTGAATTACTGGGTCACCCGCCGTATAGCCCCGACCTCGCGCCTTGTGATTTTTATTTATTTCCAAAAATTAAAGAAAAACTTAAAGGAAAGCGGTTTATGAATGCTGAAGAAGCGGTGGCTGCGTATCGCGATGCCATTGAAGAGACCCCTAAGGACGAGTGGGCAAAGTGCTTTTCCCAGTGGTTCCAACGCATGCAGCGGTGTATTGACGTGAATGGACAATATTTTGAAAAGATATAATAAAACTAATAACTGGCTAATGTAATCAGTTTTTGATTTTCTAAGAACTTTCAGTTTGACCCTCGTATAAAATTAAATGACAAAATATTTAAAGTTATAACGAACAATTAATAACTCGCAAACCATAATTTCTCAACACATTTACCAATTTCCACTATAATAAAAAGACCGATGAATTGAAAGAAGATAATGTAATTTTTTTTATTGGAAAAAATATATAAATTTTCTCATCGATAACCTTAATTGGCTTTATTTCTTTATCTTAATCTAAATTCAAGTATAATATTTTAATTAAAGAACCGAAAACATTGTACATATATACTGCTTGTATAAAAGACAAATCTTAGTTACTCAAATATGACAAATTTAAGTCCCATCGTTCTACATAATTGAATTTTTAATACCCATAGGTCTCTACAATACACTTGTACTATAACATTTATGTCCTGACGCTTTATCACTAGAACCGTAAATAGACATTAGAAATTTTTACTTATTAATTTTTTGGCTTTCAAATATAAGATCTAAATCAAACAAATACATAGTATAAAAAAAAACTATTTATTAAATTCTGCTTACACACTAGAATAACACAGCCATAACTTCAACAAATCACTAGATTTACAAGAATGGCCCCCAACCAATATACATTTGACACAAGTTGTGTATACTCGTCGCTTCAACGATTAAATGTTCCACCTGACCCTCGGGGGATAAGGAAAGCGACAGTTGCTTATTTTTCGTTTTTACCTGAAAAAAAAAAGACTGGTATTGACGCTATCTACATCAATAAGGAAAAAGGGAACAGTTCAGACAGTGACAATTACATCATTTATAACTCAATAGAGTTTAACCTAATTTGAACTATCACGTTGCACTTATTTGTTTCAAACCATTAAGAAAGAGCCGTATATTTGCTTAAGTTATTACTTATACTCAAGTGATTAACTTCTATTCGACAATAGATACGAGAGTAAGTCTGCAAGAGAAATCATTATGAGCGTTCCCTAGGGTTCTATATTAGGACCTTTCTTTTTCCACGTAAAGTATGTAAAAGTAATGAAGGAGTTTTGTGCTTATTAGATTCAGTAACTTTCAGATGCTCCATAATGCTTGTATGATTGAATGATACTGATTACCATTCCGTTCAACCGTTGCCTAATTTGTTGCAGATGTTGCAGAGCTTGCTCGTTGGTTCTCTCTCCTATGTCAACATTTTTACTACGACCCCAAGACACCAGCGGGTCATAAACAAACGGACCAATAACGGACATCAGAGCCGCTGTCTGAGCTCGCAGCGCCTTCATCACAGCTTCGCAACTTTTCCTGTTGAAACGAAATTATTATAAAACAAGCTGTTTTCCTGCTACTTCAACCACCTTCCGCTACTTCAATCATGTCTTACCTCTACTTCAATCATATCTAACCTCTTTATTAGTATAGACGATAAAATTATAAACTCAAAAATAATCAGGTCAGATTACCCGATTTTCAAAATTCTTTCATAAAGCTACATTATCAGCGATTGCTAATATGTAATTGTTTTGAAAAAAACGGCACGATGATCGCTGGGCTAACTAATCTTCCCAATATTATAAAGTGGAAAGATGTGATTATTTGTTTGCTTATTCAATAATTAGCTCCGAAACTTCTGGACCGATTTGGAAAATTCTTTCACCTACGCGGTCGAAGTTGACAAAAAAAACTTTTCCTCGCCAAATTTATAAATACGATGTTTAGTACTTTTTTCTCAGTAAAGTATTATTAACATTTATGAAACAAAGTAATATTAAAAATTGTACGCGACCTTCACCTTTCAAATGAAACCTTCAACGCGACTCAAAAAAATACTGGAATCAGCCGGGATTGAATCACGCTCAGTCTTTTATTGAAGGGTATTAAAACTAACAGCAGAGCTTCTGAAGCTAACTTCAATTTCTAATGAAATTAAGTGACACTGAATATTTGTAGATATTGCAAACAGGAGCGCGAAACACCAAAACATCTACTGTGTGAATGTGGACCACTGATTCACAAACGAAGACATCTTGGACGACACATAATCAGGCCAAAAAATATAAAAACTCTAAAAGCCAGGAAAATTATAGACTTCCTCGAGGTACCAAGCTAAAACAGCTACTATGATTTTGGCGGCGAGCCACAAAATATCTCTCAGGTAGCAGTGACTACAGGTCGTTATGGAACTGCATAGTCCATTACAACGAACTAATAATATTAAATATTGTAAAGATATTTTTATTATCTACATTATCAATTTCAGCCCAGCTATTTCGCCGTAACAGATTAAATAAAAAATATAAAATAGTATTTGTATAAAAATGAAAGTATGGATAATGCAATATAGATACTTAATATTAGTAGTTTGTTTTGTGCATTAATTCACATGCGAAAGTTGAAAAACTACGTTGTTAAAACTAGTTTGCAAATCTATAAGATCTCGTAGGTACAGTCTACAGTATATGTGACTATACAAAACTGACAAATTTCCCCACTCTATTTTAAACATTATCCATTAACTGTAGAGTAAAAAATCTATTACGAGAAGACGTATTGTGGTACCTGACTGTTGATGTGTGTACATGAGAAATTTAACTAATACTATAAATGTGAAAGTGTGTATATTTAAATGTGCGTACGTATGAGAAGTCAATAAAAAGTTGTCGACAGCCCTTTGGTTATAATGCCAAATTATTACTTATTCCACAAATAAATAGTGAGATAGACCCGATCACGTGTCTTTGATAAGTGGGCATAGAAGATATAAGTTATTTTTTTTTTATATTTTAGAGTCGTCCCAAATTTGTATCCAAAAAGTGTTTTTTTATATCTAATTTCAAAAACAAAGCAATATGAGCTGAATGAGCCTGAATTGATATATTTATGAGCTTTGAAAGTTATCCATAGAACTCTTATTGTTTCCGTTAACTACTACCTATAGTTGTACGGGGTTGGATCAACGACCTGAAGCGTCCCGTACAACAAAACGTACTGCATTTTGTACGCGGAAACTATACAGATTAGGGTGTAGACAATTTTTTAAATATATTTAAAAAAAAATATCATTCATATAATAATTTAAAATCTAAAAATAAATTTTAATCTCAAAATTTCCCGCTAAAACGCCACTTCTGTCATGGCGCTGTTGGAAGCGCCATGATCACGAAGTACTGAAATTTGTTTTAGCGGGTGGGTGTCATAGACAGAAATATCAATCTGCCATCTTTCGAGTCGTTTTACGTTCGATATGCATAACATACTCATGAATCGAACTCAATAAGCCACAGATTATCTCGATTAAACGCCGCTATATACCAAGCATAGTCAGGGAAACGGTTGAAATGACAAAGCACAAGAATTTCAATCCTCACGAGTTAAATTGTCGTGTCTAGAATCCAATGGTTCGTGTTTGTCAAAATCAGAAGATAAATCAAAAAAGCGTTGCGCGTGATCAGATACAGTGAGTGTTGGGTGTCGAGAACAAGTGCGAGTTTGTGGTGACATAGTGAACAGTGGTAGAAGTGTCGAACGTAAAATGACTCGAAAGAAGATAGATCGATATATCTGCCCATAGGCAGATACTATTCTTTTTGTCTTGTTGAATTGGTCGGATAATACTACATTTACGTTTGTAAAAAAACACATATATTAAAAACATGACACCCATTCCCAAAAACTCAAGTTAGTACGTGACCATGATAACTTGCAACAGCGCTGATAAATCGAGAACTCGTGAAATTCAAAACACGACAATCCCGTATTTAACAATAATTCTTAAATAAACTGTGCTGCATAAACAAAAAAAGGTTATATTACCTGTACATGCCCTCGTGTTTGAGAGGGCCCATTGCCGCTTCCATGTTGTGGGTGAGTCTAAAAGGCACACGTTCGGGCCACTCGAAAGCCTCGCCTTTATTGAAGAGGCAATTAAAGTCTACGTGTACAGTGTCACCGTTTGTTGAATCGAATGATACGTTTTCACCGTGCCTGTCACCGAGACCTGGACAACGGTACATAATATAATAAGTTATCATAATGATGTAGCTCAGGATAGCTCAACATTTAATTTGATTAATCATATCAATCAAAACTTACATTCAATTTGAATAAATATAGAAAAAAGTGATTTATTTGAAAGTTATAAAAAATGATATAACATTAGGATATATTTAATATTGTCATAGGGGAAGAGAGGGCAAGATAGAAGGCGTGGGCAAAATTTAAACTTCTTATAATAGAAAAATATGTGACCTAACACGGGCGCTACTACACACAGAGAGACATGTAGCTGAATATGATTTACGAACGATATTTAGTCCGATTCGCACCAGCCAATAAAATGTACAAGCTATGTATTTATTTGGTACGAAGATATTACAATAACGGCAAACTTCTCTGATTTGATTGCTTAAGATAAGTAAGAAATAAAGAGCACGATGGAAATTTGAAGTCGAGGGCAAAATGGAAAGAGTTAAAAAAAATGAAAGCTCAGGGTTTTAATTTACGAGTTATAATTAGTTTCTGACTAGAATATAGTTATTGTTAATATAGTTATAGTTTTCATTATTTAATTACCTTTCAAGGACAATTTAAATAAGAGACTTAAGCCAAATACATTTTTATTTATTTTTACACAAAGTTAGCCCTACATAATTATTGTATTATAGAAAACACAAACTACAAATTATAATATGCTTATTTGCCCTATGATATAATATAACGAAGCGACGGATGCTCATATACCTACACTTTTTGAATAGACATAAGGCATAACAGGGATACGACTAAAGCTGGAAATGTATGCCCTCTTATATCGTTTCATTTTCGTAACATGATGAAAAAAATTCAAAAACATATTTATTCGAGTTCGACCTACCAACTTTTTACAATAAAAACTAAACGAAACCGGAATTTAAATACTTTCGTTTAGGACGCCATTACACAAAAAGCTTTTAGAAACATATTACCACATTAATAACAATTTCTAAAAATACATGTAGAAACAATAAGCATGTTACATCATGAAATAACTTACCCAATATATAACCGACCATAGACATGACAGCTGTTGTTCTTATGTATGCTGATCTAGCTTGATACCTAAACAAAAGAGATAAATTAGATACAGAAAACAACGCACTCATACAGTGACAGATGATTGTATTTTAGACCTTATGATAATAAAAATAAGGCTAATTATAATTTTTTATCATACGTTCTGACATCATCGGAACTAATGTAATTAGTGTAACATACCATCCATAAGGATCGGAGAAAACACGCCTGAACCACTCCTGGAAAACGGGAGGGTGTTTAGGTAGCAACATTTCTTCGTAAATATGCCGTTTCTTCTCAACCGGATCTTTGGTTAAACACATCATTTCTTTCAACTCGCGGTTACTTGTATGGATACCTAAAAGCATTATAGAGTAAGGCATTGTTCGACCACTGACCAACGTAAAATTCATCGGCGGATTACTCGATATACCCGATTACTTTAATTTTTTATTTATGTGTGAAGATATTAAAAAGTGCAAAGTTCTTGAAGTTTGAATGTTTAGATGTTTGTACGTCAATCACGCCGAAACTACCGAACGGATTTTGATGAAATTTGGTATACAGATAGGGTGTTAGCTGACTTAGATAATAGGATACTTTTTATCCCACTTAACATTTCCCTAGGGTCCACGCGGGCGAAGCCGCTGGCGAAAGCTAGTATATAATAAATATTAAACAACATCACATACATTGCTCAGATTCGATGCTACCACAACACCCAGACCCGGGACAATATATAAAAGTTCATCAAGATAAACATGTCAGAAACTACCTTATAATTTTGCAAAAGGACTAAAATATAATATTAATGTTAAAGTAACTCTGTCTGTTTGTCTGTAAGACACACTGTTTTCAAGCCTAAACTACTGGACCAACTTTGATGAAATTAAATACACAATGCTCGGGTACCTGGGGCTAATACATTTTTAAGCATTTCTCTTTTTTTCTAGTTCACAAAATAAATATAGAGAAAGTAGAAATAAGTAGTACCAGTCTAGGGCCTTGTTGTATTTTAATCAGTGAAAGTTCAAATTCATCTGTAGAAAACTTTAGTATATCTATACATAGTATAAAAGAAATCGCGTCGCGCTGTCTGTGCGTTGATATTTTAAACTACATAACGGATTTTAATGTTTTCATCAATTCACAGATTGTTTCAAGAGGAAAGTTTATGGGTATAATACAAGATCGCTAATTAAATAATACACATAAAATACAAATACAAATAAAAGAAAGCTAATTAATGATAAACCGGACACTACAATTTCTATCACAACCATGTAACAATAAAAATACAGAAAACTTTTAAATATTTTCGAATGTTTTTTATACCTTACATCGAAACCAAGGTCGACTGTACGTGGACTCAGCGACGAGGTCGAAATTGCATCAATGACATTTTATGAAAGCGTTGCAAATAAGAAGACACTTCTTATAGAAACTTTTGTCTACAACTTTATAAATAAACAATTAACCGAGTCTCTATGAATTGTAATTCAATACTTTGATGTATAAAAAAAAAACAGGAAAATGAACGTAAAAGCCTTCATTTTAAGGTCAGTTTCTAAATGATTTACTATGTGATGTATTTTATAAAAACTATTATGTAAATCAATACAGTACTGGAGAAATAAACCTGTTATGAATATTTATAGGTATATAATTATTATTATAAACAATAAGAAGAAAACATCGATTGCAAAACTTGGTGGAAGTAATAACTACTTTAGAAAAATTAAGTGAATAAGTGATTAATTAAATAAAGTAAGTGAATCAAAATACTTTTATTCAATGAAGGATATTAAAAGTACTTATATTTTAAACTTTTTTACCTTTTTACGATTTTAGTAACCATTTCATAGTTAGCGGCTAACGATATAAGATAGTAATAAACTAACCTGCATTGTAGCAATTTCCTTAAATATAATAATACTAACTTAACTAGCAAATTAACTGGGCCTATAGTAACGACAATTACATAAACCTTAGAGTACATCAATGTTAACATTGAAAATAAATTATATATATTGAACATACAAGGGAAAAATGAATACATTAGTAAGTGACGTAAGCTAGATCCCCGTTTACACTACAATAAGAACAGTAGTGAATTCACTTGCGATATCAGCGAATTGTTATCGTCGTTTGAAAGGCAAAAGCGTATTAAGTAGTAAGCTCTTGATTAAGTTTAATAAATTGAGAGAGTACAGTGTTAAGTAACCCCCTCTCGTCTCTCGCACCACGCTAACTTAACTGGTAGGCAAGTAGGCGGGTCAGATTAGTACAGTTCATAATTTATAGTATGCGGACGAGTGTTACTGATAAAAAAACAAATTGGTCGGATAATACTACATTTACGTTTATAAAAAAAACACATTTATTAAAAACACGAGTGTTTATATAAATCAAATTTCGCATATACATATTTTTTACAATCAAATTCCCGACGCAACTAGTCCGTGCTTTGGAAGACGACAAGCCGTTATTCGCAGCTACATCTGCAGTCGTTGACATCCACCAATCCGCACTGGGCCTGTGTGGTGAGACAAGTCTCATTATCCGTATTCGATTCAATCCATATGGAAGACCTGAGCTCTAGCAGCACATTAATTGGCTGGTGATGTTGCAACTACTCTTCTCGGAACAGCAACTTATGAGAACTTAACTCTCCTACTTTTGGATGCTACTTACAACTTTTTACCTGTTACTGTTCTTAACTCGCTACTGTACTTGCAAAAACAATCACGTTTATTGCAAGGCAGTCTTCTTAAATATTATTTTATTCTGTTTTTACTATTTCTTGTGACAGCGGCAACAGAAATACACCTCGAGTGAAAATTTCAACTGCCTAGCTATCATGGTTTATGAGGTACAGCTTGGTGACAGACAGTCTTTGTAATAGGGACCAGTTTTTACCCTTTGGTACGGAACCCTAGAAAAAGGGATATCAAAAACTCACCTTTCTGTTTGTAAATGTGCATCAGTATTGGTCTCAAGCCCACCAGGTTTGGCACCCATTCTATCAGCCCGCATTCCTCATTCAACGGTAGTACACAATATGTCCTTATATAGAGTCTCCTACGTCGCGTATCTGGTGCATCTTGTAAAAATCTATTCACTACACCATTGAATTCCATTAGGCGATAATCTTTGCGGAGGTCGTCGCGAGGCTTCAGCATTATTATATAAGATTTACCATCGGAACCTTAAATGATAAATAAGCTATAAGTCTAAATACAATCGGCTACGATTGTTTTGGCATAAGTATTTTAAAACTTTGATGTGATCATATTAAACCACTTTTTCTCCAAAAAGTGTTATTAAAAAAAACGAATTTTTATTAATTAGATTATTGTGTGATAACATCAGGTACGTGACCTTTGGAACCGTGACGTCACAATTCAATAATCATAACCACTGCCCTGCGTTTCAGTAAAAATCCAGACCCGTATTGGAATTTACTCGTGTGTTTAGGATTTTTATAGAATAGCAGGGCTGGTTGCACTCGTACGTTGAACGTTAACGTTCAATTTATTGAAACGATATCCGTTATGGCCGTCCACGGTTCGGTTATTTTAGTGCACAAAATATGATGCGCAAGTTAATTAAGCAATAATAATATACACTTACAATTTATTATGAAACAAATAAATATTTATTATTTTTATATAAGTTACCATTTCCGAGTAGCTAACTAAGCTCTATCTGTATGCATGTTAAGCTTTAATACTTTACCGATAAACGATTTCTAAATAACGACGATAAAATATACTACGTAGAGTTCAAGATCACCTATGATGCGTACTTTGCTAACTGTCTAGGACATACAAAAATACTATACAGAGCCTGAATTGACTGGGTTTTAATCAACAAGTACTGTTGCTCAGGCGTAAAATACAGACGCAACTATAACACATTTGATGTAAATTTTTAGATAGAGATTGCTGCGTACATGTGGCACGATGCCGCGGGAAAAGACGCAAAGAACATTAAATTTATTGGCGCCTTTCAAGACTGCAACCTCTAAAAATTATTAAATTATAATTTTTATTTATCAAACTTTATTATCCAACGTATAAATGGTAGAACAGGTGGATTTAATGTTTTTCAAAAAGTTGACCGGTAGAGAATGCTATTATTCTCTACCGGTCAACTTTTGGAAAAACAGAAAAACATAAGAGCGGCATTAAATGATTTTACAATAAACAAAGCTTAAAAATAAACATAAGCAAATTCATATATACATATTAACATATACACAAACATAATATATAATATATACTATGTTGAAGAGCCTTATAATCATGGCATAAGAAAAGTGCAATTAAATATAAATTTGTTGAGAAATCGCCATTCCACAGTCACAAAGCTTGAACGGTAAAGGAGTCGAACATAAAGCTTATAAAAAAGTAGTATTAAAATACGTTTTACCTTTCAATGTCACTTTCCTAGGTTTCTGCAGCGACTGTAATATAGTGATATGTTCCTTCACGCCGGCTATATAGACCGTCGGTTCGACCGGTATATTAAAGTCGATCCGTTCCTGACGCGCTGCCTTGGATGGCAATACTATCTTACAGAACTCTTGGAACGGCATCATTATGTGACTGAAGCCTTCACTAGCTAGCAATCGTGGTAAAGTTCGGACTAAAGACGATACGGTTGTTGTCTAAAAATGTACAAAGTAATCAAGAACTAATCCCACTTCCGAGTATTTAGAATGAATTAATTAATTTTTGTTGTGGTAAACCTAACATTGAGTTTACCATAATTAATATTTTATTAATTTCTTACAAACTGGCCGACTTCCGTAAACGATTTTGAACTTAACAGTCATAATTTTATGTCAGCATTTAAAAATTTAGAATCGATTACAAACTTTGATAACAAAATAAGTTTTGGATGATCTGCAGTTGACTGCATATGTATAAATGCACATACACAATACACATAAAATTAAGTGAACCCCAAAAAATGTTTGACACATTATAAACAAACTATCAATATATTCATGGAAATCTGTTCTATTATCGATGAAAATAATTGTATTTAAAATCACGCAAAAAACGCTGTTCTATGTAATGGCGCTGAACACGTGGATATTTTGACGTCACATGCCAGTAAATGTGACAAGGTGACATAACCTACAATATTACAGAAGAGAAAATGAAGTTAAATTTTATAATTTGTATTTGTATCTACACTGGTTTTATTAATAAAAATAAGCTACAAATTCTATGTATGATTACAAATTTTGCGTATCTAAGAGACATTACAGCTTCCTGTTTTCGTGTGACGTCACACGCCGGTAAACAGAACCTGTTACTGGTTGCGGCGACAGTAAATAACAAGGCGTTTCGTCGGTCATTAGTTTCCTAAAAATGTTGCACTTTCTTTTCAATTATTCATTCTTAATCTAAACATATTTTGTCTGCAGAGTCTAAGAAATAAATTTTATTAGATTATAACAGAAAGGCCAGGTCCTCAAATACCCTTTTGAGGGCAGAGTTCAAAGTCAATAGCGAAAATTAGTGCAGAGTTCAAAATAAAATGTTTACCGATCCTCCATTCATGATTGGTTTATTGCACAACTCGATTAGATTCTCGGCTAGATCCGTGAAGTCACTAATAAACTTCAACATGGGCGGCTCCTTGAGTCTCGGGTCTGTGAAAACGTCGGCACATCTCTTCATACGAGTCGGGTAACTAGACTTGATCACGCACATCATCATCCATAACGTGTGTTGAGGGTATGCCAATATCAACTTCACTATAATAGCTTTCAGTTGGAGGTATACCTTGAATGATAACATAGACATGATGGTGGTTACCAATAAATCCAAATAGATACGCCAAGTTGCACAAGCATCTGATAAAATCGACATTAATTTAAAGCAATATTACCGATTTAAATTTTCAAATTTACAACATCCATTAGAACAGCTAAGTCATAGGTTTCACCTGACTAGTTAGTATGTCTAATGAAAGTTGATAGTTACAAAAATGAAAATTCTTGGAATGTTACTCCCAGACCAGTGTAGGATTAACCTCATCGAAAGCCCGATTAACTTTTCACATGCATCTAGAACATCATACAAAATATTCTTACCTCTTTAACAGGATGACAAATTCTGGACACAATTTGCGAAAACGCAGTCAAGTAAAGGTACAGAGGCAACCTTTCGGAGTAAGTCTTAATTATTTCAGTCATTTGAGCCAACACAAAGTGTGCACTAGTATCCTGAGATGTCACCTCCATATCGAGCCTAAAATTGCAACGTTTTTTAAATCTGTTTTATCAACCACAAATAAGTATAAATTCTCCTATACTAAGAGCAGAATTCGTAATTATCAAGATAATATATTATATTATTTTGGATAATTATCATAATTATCATCGGATTCATTATCTGATAAATATCCGTAGTTACTGACGACATGTTTTAAATAGAGTAAGGCATTCGTAATTGTATCAACTTTATATTATTGTTTTAAACTATAATAAATATATAAAGAAAAAATTTACTGTGACATTAAATTGAGCGAAAAGTGAAATTTAAATATTTTTAATGAAAAATGCTTAAAAATCCACTTGGTCCCTGGCAACCTGAAATGGCATTTTTCATTAAGCATATTTTTTAGTATAGCATTGTAAATGCGAAATTGATCAAATATTACATTTAAAATATTTTTTAAGTTAAAAGCTTTTATATTTTTTTATAGGCCCATCCTAGACAATTTTCTCTGTAAGAAAAACAATAGATAGTCGGTTTAAGATCATTCCCCTTTAATAACAAATCCTTAACTACAAAAAGACTGTCGAGTGATGTATAATTATCAAGATAAATATCATTATAATTATAGTGACAATTATGACATTTTAAACAAAACTGTAACTTTATTATACTTACCAGATGGAAAGCATCCTCGGCATACTCTGGTATAGGTATTTGTGTCCGTACTGTAATGCTTTACCGTAACTGTTGAGGGCGTGGAGACGTCTAGTCCACATGACATTTGTGTCGTATATAGTATCTGGACTGCTCACTTTCTCATAATATGAACCAAGGCACACCTAAATCGGAAAATATTATTTTTGAAACCACTCTTTAACATTTTATAGACCTAAAACTCACAATAAAAATACGATTATAATATTTAAGTTCGAACGTCACACTTTCATTAATTTAGACCACAGATAACTTCCAATAGATGCCGTATGAAAGACATCAAACTTAGCCATGCATCTATGATTCTGCATAGATTGTTTTAACAAAAGTAATAATACACGTATGCGAATCCTCAGTAGCGACTAAGTGTTCGATCTATGAATATACGCTATATTGAAGCATACAAAAATCAAAATAATTTACCAAACTTTTCTCCCATTGTTTAAATACATCGACGGACTCCTTGTAATATCCGATATTAACATCGACATCGACATTTGTAGTCTCATCATTATACTTCGCTATCAACAGCTTTGCTTTAGCACATATTTTTCTGAAATCATAATGAGTAAGGGGTCTATCAAGTATTTCAGCACCAAAAAAATAAGAAAGCTTCGCTTTATTTTTGATAAAATGTTCGTATGAAGGTACGTCATACTTTGGCAATATTTATCATCTTCATAAAAAACTGAATAGGTTGTAATTTCAAAAAAACAAAAATGGTTATGTTGATAATGCCTAAAAAATACAAAAATTTTGGTTACGCAATACTTGAATGATAAAATTTAGGTTTTTATGTTATACAAATTATTAAATCTTTAGGTAATGTTTCATTGTTCTAACTTCCACTATGGAAGCTGAACAATTTACTTTATGAAAAACAAATACAATGATGTAATATAACTACTGTATGTAATGTAAATGAAGTGTTGTGCTCGCCCAACACACTGATTTAGATTTTTTTGCTGATAGGATGGGACGATTGCTATCATTGGCTAGACAGATCCTTGATTCTTTCTAAATTATCCTTAGCACTGATTTACATATATTTAACTTTTTATGACATTTATCTGCAATTTAAAATCTTATTTTTCTAAATTGACATTTTGATATCTCATAATTTGACATTATTTATTTATTATTTTATATTATTTTTTAATGTTTATCATTTTTATTATTAAATGAACATTTGACTGCATTCAATATTATAACTATTATTTTTGACTTGTATAAATTTTTATTTTCTTTACGAAATGAGCCAGTGTGATAGTTTTCTGTAAGCTGGTGCACAATTGAATAACACATAAATAAATAAATCGTAGGCCCCAAACTGAATGTGCTATGGACATAATAATGTCCACACGATAGGTAAAAGGCAACCAGAAAATGTTTTCTACATAGAACTCAATTTTAACGCATTAAATGTCGAAACGAACAGACTCAAAAAAATTTTTGTCATGCATGTGTTATGTGAGTTATTATCTGTTTAAGTGTCACAGTAATATAATGATAAATGGGTTCTGCTGCAACACTGAAGGAAAATAACTGTACACATAAGTGAACACGGAACCTTACTATAAAGTATGCTGACTGTATGTACCTGAGCTTTTTTATAATGTTATATTTGTTGCAATATCAGTTACCTTTGTTCATTGGTAAGTTGTTCGATGTTAGGGTACGCTTCATCTAGACCACGACGAAGCGTAGTAAATGCCGACTCGTGTTGTCCTCTAGCCCAATACATCTTTGCCTTTTCTATAAATAACTCTTCCGGGTGATATTCTTCCGCATTCAATATATACATGTAAGACTAAAAATTTTAAAAAAATCATAAAGGAAATCTAAAATTTATTGATTAATCTAATTTTTCTGTGATTTTAGTCTATCTGAAGGTATTTTTAGCACCAGATATTGTAATACTCTTAATTGAAATTTAATTTAACCAAAACATATAATTATTTGGGCTACGCTACACTAGGCGAAAATTAAACACGCGTTTCCGTCGAATAGAAGATACATGGTACATGTAGGAATGATAAGTGACAATCGTAAAGAAGCCTAAGAAAAGATCCTTGTGGTACATTGAATAGTACATCTATTCAAGCACATGAGAAACTATTATAATACATATACAGAATATAAAGTATACAGATAAATAAAGTTAAACAACATAAACTATGGTATAGGAAAATATTCCTGGGACCTAATTGAAATCTATAACAATAACTTCAATTAGACGTTTGAAATATTTTTACGAACTTCACGCTACAACTATTTGCCGTGTGAAAGCGATTGCGATAGCGAAGGTTTTAAGAAAGATATTAAATGAACAATATCACTAGTCGGAATTGTCTAAGGAAATGAGGATTCTAGAGCCACATTAACACGCCACTACACCGAAGATCTGCCAGAAGTCAGCATTGGCGAAATCGAGATCGCTCTGAGACAGCTTAAAAATGGAAAAGCCCCTGGAGAGGATGGCATTACAACTGAATTATTAAAAGCAGGAGGTAAACCGGTACTGAAGGAGCTCCAAAAGCTTTTTAATGCTGTCCTCTTCGAAGGGAGAACTCCGCAGGCGTGGAGTAGGAGTGTTGTCGTCCTGTTCTTCAAAAAGGGAGACAAAACCCTGCTGAAGAACTATCGACCCATTTCCCTTCTAAGCCACGTCTATAAGCTGTTTTCTAGAGGACTACTCTACGAACCGTCTTGCGCAAAGACTTGACGAATTCCAACCACCGGAGCAGGCTGGGTTTCGGAGTGGATACGGCACCATAGACCACATCCACACAGTGCGGCAGATTATACAGAAGACTGAAGAGTATAATCAGCCCCTGTGTCTAGCATTTGTGGACTATGAGAAGGCCTTTGACTCGATTGAGATCTGGTCCGTTCTGGAGTCCTTGCAGCGATGCCAAGTCGATTGGCGATACATCCAAGTGATAAGATGTATTTATGAGGCCGCCACCATGACCGTCCAAGTACAGAATCAGCAAACAAGTCCTATACCGTTGCATCGAGGAGTGAGACAAGGAGACGTTATGTCTCCGAAATTGTTTACTAATGCAATGGAACTGGAAAGGACGTGGCATCAACATCAATGGCGAGTACATCTCTCACTTGAGATTTGCTGACGACATCGTCATCATGACAGAAAATCTGCAGGACCTACAACAGATGCTGAATGACCTGGCTGACTCTTCTATGCGCATCGGCCTACGGATGAACTTGGATAAAACCAAGGTCATGTTCAACGAACACGTACTACCGGAACCGATTGCAGTATGCGGTGCCGTTCTCGGAATTGTTCCAAAATATGTATACCTCGGGCAAACATTGCAGTTAGGTAGAAACAACTTCGAGAGCGAGGTAAATGGAAGAGTTCGGCTAGGTTGGGCAGCGTTTGGGAAACTACGTCAGGTCTTTACATCGTCGATCCCGCAGTGCCTAAAGACAAAAGTCTTTAATCAGTGCGTCCTACCCGTTATGACATACGGAGCCGAAACGTGGACACTGACGGCACGGCTGGTCCACAAGTTGAAGGTCGCTCAGCGCGCTATGGAAAGGGCTATGCTCGGCGTTTCTCTGCGGGATCGAATCAAAAATGAGGTGATCCGGCAGAGAACCAAGGTTATCGACATAGCCCACCGGATTAGCAAGCTGAAGTGGCAGTGGGCTGGCCATATTAGCCGCAGAACCGATAACCGTTGGGGTAAACGAGTTCTTGAGTGGAGACCGCGTCTCGGCAAACGTAGTGTAGGACGTCCTCAGGAGCGGTGGAGCGATGATTTGCGCAAGATGGCTGGCAGGAGCTGGATGCGAACAGCCGAAAATCAAAATAGATGGCGTGCAATTGGGGAGGCCTATGTCCAGCAGTGGACGAATATGGGCTGATGATGATGATGATGATGATGATGATGAATTGTCTAAGCAAAGCTATAAATGCTTGAAAACTAATTGAGAAATGTTAAACGAAAGAGTTTAATGCTAAATGCAATCCTTCGACAAGTTTGACGAAGTACTTATTATCACTCAAATCATCATTTACCAACAAGTGCTACTTTAAAAATGACATAATTTCATAAATCATAATCATTATAACTTTGAAGGGGACTGCGATAGACCCACCCACGCAGCCCTAGTGCGGTGGTGGGTACTAACGTCTTCAGATGCAGCTACAACAGCTAGACGTGCCTTCCAAAGCACGGAGGAGATCGAGATAATAGTTTTTTGGGTACGCATCCTATAAGCGGCCATTGTAAAAGCTGCTTAACAACCGCATCACAGAACGAGTCATTTATTTTTAATAATGTCAAATAAACTTACTTGCTGAAATACGCCAGCCTTTCTAGCGTGTTTTGCACTTTGCAACCAAAGATCGCCGATACAAGCTTTCAGCCTAGCCGCTGTATCAGGATGTGTTGACAGTAGCATTTCCTATAAGCGTAAGCGATAAATGTAATAATAATAACAAACGCTTTATTGCACTCAGAAACAGTTACATTATATGAAAACAACACTAAGAAGAAGGATTAGAGTTCCCTACCCGAAGGGTAAAACGGGAACTAGTAGTTAGGCTTCGCAGTATGTCTATCTGTCTATCTATCTGTCTGTCACCAGGCTCATGGACCATGAAAGTTAGACAGTTGAAATTTTCACTAACACTAAAAACCATAATAAAATAAATATTTAAGGCGGCCAACATACAACGAACGTGTTTCTTTTCTCGTTTCCGGTACGAAACGTTACGTGCGCGAGTCCGATTCGCACTTGGCTGGTTTTTTAGACGTTCGTCTCCACCGAGAGCTACATAAAACTGACAAAAATCGCGCGGAATTTCAATGGTAATGCGAACAAGGTGTTATGTAATTGCGAATAAAAATCGCGATGCAGACAGTCGCTAATAGATCTCCAAATCCATAGAAATAGGAAATAAAAGACATCCACCACCACCATCAGCCCTTTTACGTCCCCACTGCAGGGGCTCAGGCCTTCCTTATGGATGGTTAAGGAGGTTTTTTTATTTATAAGAAGTTTAAAAAATATTTATAAGAAGTTTTTTGGTTTTTAATATTTGTAAGCCAATTTATCATTGCATCGGTTCGCAAATCCCCATTTACATTACCTGCGTTTGATGCAATAAAATCCTCCGGAGTCTAAGTAAAGGTTCTATAGTTCTCACATCGGACTGCACCACGGAAAGACGTCGTCGCCATTCATCTAACAACTGATCTATTATCTCTGTTACTTGTTCATCACAGTCATTTGTCATCTTCAATCTATAACAACACAAAAAGGTGATCTTATGAGGTAAAAAAACGTGTCTCATAAATTAAAAAAAATATCAATATTAATTACGAGCTAACCTCGAGATATAACAAATTATAAAATCTATATTTTATTCTTATTTAGTTATAGACATGGATAAAAAAACTGTTTCAAACAGCTTATATGGAGAACTCTGTCACATTAATTGTATTATGTGAGTACCTTTTTAGAGCCTCGTTGGAGTGTTTAACTTCAGTGATTATATGTAGACCTAAAACACTTTGGTATCCACTTCGTAAAGCGCTCTCGCCTTTACTCTCGCCATCCATTTGAGTCAGCAACCTATTGTTAGCGTCTTTACATGACATATCGAATTGCTCATAGTCCTGCGAGCGAAACGCGAGAAGTATTCTACCCATTAATAGACCCCAATTCTCTCGACATAATGGCTAAAATACAATGGCATAAATCAGTAAAATTGCAAACGGGTGACTTCAGTCTTCACGCATTACATCTAGACGTGAGTCTAGCAGCAAAGCATCGTAATGTGAGTTTTGTATTTAGTTCAACAGAGATTATACTTTCCAATACTTATGACTGGATCATAATTATAATACGTTTATTCCAATTTATTTGCTTTAACTTTTCAGCACCAATTCAAATACATTTAAATTTTCATTACCACTGGCTTTTTGACTAATTCCTCCAATTGTTCGAATCTGCCGAGCCGCCATAACGGTTCGGCCGCCAACTCCATCATACCATCTTCAGATTCGTGTTCACTCAGCAATCGGTATGCAGTAAATGGCTGGTCTAATCCTAAATAGCAGTCTATCATACCCTAGAAAAATATATAATAAAAGGGATTTAACCAAATTCATAAGTAAATATGTAATTCTGAATAGTGAAATTTATATTTCTCAGATTTCAAGATAAATAGCTGTACAGTCATCGTATTATAAAAACGTATGGTTTAAAACGCAACACTCATAGAATTGTTTATTTACTATAACTATAACCCACTCGAAGAAGGATATCGTAATAATAAATATTTACGAAACATAATTATAATAATGAACATTTTTATATTAACAAAATATTTTAATATGTACATACATAGCAATAAATGAGAAACAAAATACCTAGAACATTTTGAAATTGTTTATCAAACAGGAAAATATTTATTTGAATTGTTTGAATATAATATAATTTTCAATCCTAAAGATTATTTTTGTATTGAGAAAAATTTCTAAAAATATGATTTACAATAACCTTCAATAGAAATTTAAATATTAGATCGAGCTTTATATAAAGGTATCAATAACCTGGCTATGTATATCATTTGAATATAAAAGTATTATTTATAATCAGAGATCGGAATTAGGTAGAGTTATTTATGTACTTGCATTGAAATGTTGATATGAATGTGGACCTTCCCGGGATTTCTTTATTTCTTCTTTCTTTTTTTCTTTCTTTCATTGATGTAAGTTTGACAACGTCGTGCATGCAGTAGTTTAAATTGTGTAAAAGTAAATAACTTTTTATTTAAAAAAACACGGGATTTTTTCTGCTCTTTAAAATTAATCTTGGGATTTGAGGCATATCCACTTTATTCTTTCGCTGTATGAAATCAGTGTAAGTACATGAATAGCTCTACCTAATTCCGACCACTGTTTATAATACAACTCAATTGAAAAACACTTTAATTGCATCCCACATCTATTGCCTATCACTCATAGTTTGATTATTCAAAAGAAGAGCGAGCGCAGGATAAAAAAATATATATACTATTACAGATAAACAATATTACCCTCAAACTGTGTTTATCTAACTGGCCTTCCTGAGCCAGCCTTTCGTAGCACAAAGCAGCGTCTTGTAAACGGCCTGTCACCACTTGAGCGAGTATCAATTCTTTCAAAGAAGGCTCAGATCTTTTTATAGATAAAATCCCTAAAATGAAGAAATAACTGTAAGAACTAAGTTATAACATCCCAACGTAAAATTAGTCACGTGATACTCCTTTATGACCGCCCATTCGGTTCTTGTTATTTAAAGATATTTTAAATAGCAAATTAATTTGTGAAAAAAATCTTATGATTTATTTTAAAACAAAATATACTATAAGTAAGTAGTAACAGTACGTCAGTCTATAAAAATCTGTCATATTTCTAAACCTGATTTTAAACCTTAATATTTTGAGGGTCAATAACAAATCCTGTCATGCAGCCGTGTGTACATAGTTATTGTGTACATATAAATTACCATTACCAATATATTTTATAATTTATTTTTATAACTATAGTATAACTTATTATAGACTATAAGTAGGGTAATAGACAATATTAAATAGATTTATAGAAATGTATTTATTTTCTATACACAATATCAAATTAATATCATATGTACTGTTGAGTACACATAGACAAATAAATTGTAAGTTACACTCACCAGCTACAGAATCCGGTTCATCCAACAAAGCGTATATTTCAGCTAAAAGAGGTAATTGCTCTTGTATCCTGTCAGTATTCTTGTCCATGTACAATTCTAGATATTGCAACGCACGTTCTAATTCGCCACAAAGGAAGTTACCTCTAGCAATAGTCAACTTATCGAATTTCTCCAAGAACGATGCAATTGCTCTGCACAGAAGTACATTGTTAACAAAACATTCGTCATCTAAAGTGATACTTCAACCAATGCAAGCGAAATTATAGCTTACACCCTACGCAATAAGAATCACAGTGGATGAAAAACTTGACAATAATATCATAACCAAAAAGGATTTTACATTCTTTCTGGGGCCTTTACAACCGATATACCTAGCATATAATTGTACTTTTGTGGTAAGAAAGACTGTACTCACTTGTAATGCTCGTTATCAAGTGGCATTTGTTTTGTATGGCACCATTCCAATATCCATCGATTTAAGAAGTCCAATAATGTATATATGGTCTTACTACATTTGCTCTGAAAAATAAAGACTATTATTATATTTGATCAATTTTGCATTCACAATGTTACACTGAAAAGTATTCTTAATGAAAATGTTTAAAAAATGCACGTTTTCACAACAATAAATTACCTGATTGCCTTCTTCAGTTTGCACAGAATTAACATTAGGCGTCATTCTAATATGCCTCAATATTTTGTATCTAGATCGTTCAGATCTAACGTTAGTATTCCCGAAGTTTTCTAAACCTGACATTGAAAGTTTCTAATTAATTCAATGACCAATTTAAAACTGTTATTAGAAAATGTATAAAAACATTGCATATCTAAACTACTATTCGTAATATCGTATTAAATCTAGAATTCTAATCTACATTTGATATGTGATTTTTAAGATATGTTTTTTATTTAGGTTTTTTAACCATTAAAAATTATACAAAAAAATGCGAATAAGATATATTTTTATTAGGACGTTACGGTAGGAATTACCGTAACGTCCTAATAAAAATATATCTTATTTTAAACAAATTGTATTTAAATAGCAATTTATAAAAAAGGTTAACAGACCCACAACAGCCAACATTTCCTCTTGTATGTACTGAGCATTATTTTTAGTCATGACGGCGTGTAACAATACATATGGTAGGAACAGAAACAGCGTTCTGACGTCACGACGCATACTAGGATGAACCGTGCGCAAGAGTTCACGAATACTATCAGGCTGTATTAATGGTATCAATTGGCCCGCCCAACTGAAATTTAATGTTAAAATATCATAAAATACCAATTTGTCTCTTTTTCTATCTATCCCAATCTGTCCCTCTCTATTTATATCTCTTTCTTTCTATTTATCTATCGCCATCTCTTTTCAATCTGTCTCAACCTCATGCTATTCGTAGCGATCTTGTGTAATCTACATCAACTTCTCATCAGTATTTTTAATATCATAAGAAAGGAGAATTCATATATAATTTAGAAAAGAAAAGTACTTACTTATGAGCCCATTCTAAAAATGTTGTAGCATATTGCGACCCAAAAAGTGGATGCACTTTTTTGGGTTGCGAAGGATAAGCCAAAGTGTATCTGTAAAATGCAAGATAATAATATACAAAATGCCTTTATTAACATAATAAAAGTTTATAGTAAAATAGCTTTTTTATAATAACCCACCCCTATTAATATGGGGACATTATTACTGGTTATAATGATAGTGATGATCATAGGTGCGCATATAATGATATAAGAAATATATGACGACCTCAATATATCAGACGCTGATTCCAAGGTGTCACAATCTGTAGTAGTCTTGCAGTGACTATATCACCCCCACAAGGCTACATATAATACTTTCTATTTATTAATTACTATATCGCCAAATTATACAATATCCTAGCGCCTCGTCTAATAAATGCGGAGCGGGAAGTGGAACGTTTGCTATCTGTAATAAACTTACTTACCTAGAACTCAATAAAGGAAACATTATCTGATGCATGTGCTCAGGGAAACTGTCCCAAACTTCTTTTTTACTGCCAGTTGGAGATATCTCGTATATTTTCAAAATCTCTTGTATAGTTAATGCATAACAATCCATATTCTAAAAAAAAAGTTTCTGTTTAAATTAAATTTTCACTGGAAAAACTCAAATTTAGAAAGAAAGAAAGAAATATTGTCTGATGACTTTAGGCTTTATTGATAGTAAGCACTAGTTAAATAACAAAAAACACTTGTTTGTTTTTTGTTATTTAAGTAGTTTAAATAAAAGGCGCAGTGTTATCTCATATGCAGTGAAACGGTATAGAATTACCTCTGTGCCTTAAGCACAAAATCATAGTTCCCCTTTACGGAGGCAGGTGGCGCTGTAAAAACTACAGTAAAATAAGCACAAATTTCATTCGAACGTAATGGTTTTTTGTCCTAAGGATATAAATTCCCAAATGATAACTTGTGTTATGAAAAATAAAAAAAAAAATAATATACAATTTTTTGACATTATATCGCCACCTAAAACTTTTAATTTTAATCCAATTTAGCAATGAAATTGTAAACTATGATAACTTTACCAATGTACATCGATTGACATATGAAAAATAAGTTGCAAGTATAATTAAGTATACTATACCATGGTGTCTTTCTCGTATTGGAATGCTCTAGCAAGTTCAACGAGCGCTGTCGCAGCGAAACAATCGTCCCCTATAGAGAAGGCAAAAGGCGATCTGTCCGGTTGTACATACTGTCGAGGCAAATGTCCTGCCTCGATCGCTCCCAGTTGCCCGAGGCACATACCACTCGCCGAACTCACTTGAGGATCGGGATCTTTACAACCTATAAAATTGTTGAGAACAATTCTTATAGACTTCGTACTATGAATGCTTTATACTAATGGAATTTGGTTCAAGACCTATACATGATATGTGTATATCTTAATATGGATATGACTTAGAAATATGCAAATTAAAGTAGTGTTAAAGAAAATCATAGAAACTGACTGTTTTTTAAAAACTTAAAGATAATGATCGGATGTATTTTTAACAGACTTCAAAATCCAAAAGGAGGTGGTTTTATGCTCGACGGCGATGTGTTTTTTTATGAAAACAAAAGCTTGCGTATTTTGAATTCATTCAAAATCCGAAAGGAGGATTTTCTATGTTCAAAGGAGTATGTATATTGTTATGAAAGTAGGTATGTCAATCGATTTCTTCTTGAATTTTTTTTTTGTAATATTAAAAGTCATGAAATATACATGGAATGACAGAGGCAGAGAGCGGAAACGACTATATATTAAATAGTAATACTATTAAGCTTAAATTCCACGATCGCAGATATATCCACACTATGACAACATGTTCTAAGTAGCGAAAATATCTCTATCGATTTCGTAGTTTAGGAAATAATTACAACTCACCTAGTAAAAGTGAGTCTATAAGGTCTACCATAACAGGATCGATATTCTTGCCACCAAATATTGCTTTATGTATTTCGGTCCTATTACTTTTTAGTAATTGATCTAAATGATTGAACGCAAATGCTTTGATTGTAGGTATATCTTGATTTAAGTGTTGGAGATACCATTTTACTTTATCAAGGAATCCATCTGGTTGTGTTCTTATGACATGTTTCTTTATAGTCATCTTTACTCTCTCAGATATTTTAGTACTCTCCAAGAAAAATAAATCAGATATGTGTGAACTAAGTAAATTTTCAAAGTTTAGCACAAGGTACTGAAATATCTTATTTATTTCATGTGGGGCAAACTCCAATTGCTGCAATAAAGATACTGCAAGGTTTGACAAAAGTGGACCTAAGGACATGCTGTCTATATTGTGTATAAAAGCGCCCCAAGCTTCTGCAAGGATCTTCGGGAACTCTTTGGCTAAATGAAGTGCAGACCTCAAAGTAGCCAGAACTTTAAACCTCAGTGGTGTCAGATATTTAGCGCCCATCAATATCATTATATCAGGAAAACTCTTTAGCGCTTTTCTCTTCACAGACAGCGCTACTTTTGCATTTACTAATTTGTGATCAAAATACGCTAAAATACCCAAGAACTTTGGATTCAAAAAATCCGCTATTTGGGATGTCGTCATCGACATACTACCAGGTAAAACCCCACTATTATTTGATGTATCCGGGTCGTGACATGCTAAATATCTACAAGCATTCAGTACTTTCTTTTGGTTACAACAGTACTGCAATAAAAATTCTGTCAATATAACCCTGAAATGCTTCTTAATCAAATTCAAGATAGAAGTCCTAGTTAACTTCTCTAAGATATCGTAGCACTTCTTGGCAACTTCATTTGTCTCGTTCAAATAGACATAGACGTAAATATGAGGAAACCTTTCAATCAAAAACTCTGATTTCGAACATTGTACTAATGACGCAATCTCTTCAATCATTGCCGGTACTTCTCGAATGGTAACAGAGTAAGGTATTAAATAAGGTAAAAAATGGTGAACATCTTTTGAAATAAAATCTCTGTAGCCCACAAAACCAAATGCCCTTACAGCTTTCAGGAGGGCAACAGCAAAGTCTTTGCTATTGTAAAGACTGCATTCCACAAACAGTCGGCAATAATCTTTCTTATAACGATGGTAAACTTGGTTTGGAGTATATCTTTGAAATTCACAAACATCTCTCAAATATACAACAGCTTTAGGCCCCAAAGAACACTGAGGATGCATTATGAAATATACCAAAAGTTTTGTTGCAGGTAAAATTAGTTTTTCATTTTGCTTAGAACCGAATCTTTTTATAAGATTCAGTGTTTGTGACTGCTGCGTAAAATTGTTATTCTCTAAGCTTTGTTGGGTCGCCTGTACTAATAAGTTCACACATAACTCTAATGCTGTATCTTTACGAGAATTCCATTCTTCATCAACGAAAATCTGAAATAGTCAAGATATAATTATAAAACCTCTTTTATTTAGCAACTTTCACACCATATACAATAGTCGTGCACAATCAACAACATATCTTGCAAGTCTTAACAACTTCTGAGGATGCTCTGTTGAATTTGACTCGTCAATCCGCGTGAAGGGAACCACAGCGGGTTTTATCATGTAACCAGTCACACTAACCTGCCCCTTTTATAGGTGGGATGGTTGCAGAGCTTTGATTTGGAGGTTAGGTGCATTTCCTCTGCATTATCAAAAGAAAGGATAAATAGACATAAACGCAGAACGAAGGGGCGAAATACATATAAAGTAATAGTTGGTAGTGTTTGCAAGATTTGTTAGCGCTTTTGCTCGTTCGTATCGTATTTATATGCGCACGAGAGTATGAGAGTTGGTCCACACTTTTTCAGCTATTAACGTCTTATGATAATAACGCGATTATAACAATTGTATGCGTGTTCTCTTAATTATATATTAAAGAACCACAATAAATATACTTACCAATGCATCATCTAAAAATGAATGAAGAGCATTCTGAATTTCTTGACCATTTTTTACATTAATCATATCTGAAGAAAATTCATATTCAAAAACATAGAAATGTTTGCAAAATCTCGATACTAAATTCCAATATTCCGTTTTCGAAATGTCTACATACTGCTCAGTGTTAGCAAACTTGGAAAATAAATTCTTTAATCCTTTAGCAGTTGAAGTACCACCATACTCAGCTACGTTATCTTGAGATTGCAATACAAAAAGTGTATGATCTTTTTTTCCTATTTCAATGTGGCAATTTGAACAAATTACAGAAACATTAAAAACTTTGTCATCAAAAATACAATGGCCAAAATGTTCAGAGGTAGCCAAATTTATAATATACTTCCCTAAACTCATGCAAACAATTACTGGTAAAACTTTTGTAATAGACATTTGAACCTCTATGTCTTTTGTGAGAAAAGCTGGCAAAAATATCTCTGCAATGAGAGTGCTAGCTGATAATAATTTAACAACAAGAAGTAGAGGAGATATCATTATAATCTGTAACAAATAATAGATAAGATATTTCATTTGTATATTTGATGTTCATAACAGCTGAAATAAATATATCAATGGTAACACTTCCAATGAAAAATAAAATTAAAATCACTCTGAACATTATGCTTAATTCATTAAAAAAATATATACTATAGAAAAAAATCAACTGGAAGGGTAGTTGATTTTTTCCTGAAGGTACTTTTCTGTAAAATAATCATTGAAATAACAAATTTTTATATTACCTCTCTATAAATAAAAGAAGTCTTATTTTTCATGAGAATCTTCATCAGTAAAGGTATTGCGTGAATAAACTCAGGCAACTCATTGTAAGGTTCCCCTATAAAAAGTGTTGTCAGCAGTAAATATTTCAAAACAAGTATTTTGAATTCGTCTGAATAACTAAAATCATATTTTGAAAACCCACTTTCACTTTTAAGGCAAAGTATAGGGTATAATGTATTAGTTTTGATATTTGGCTTATTGTGGATTATAGGTATACTTATCACAATATTCATAATATTTAAAGCAGATGTAATATTTGTTAAGATTTTATCTCTGTGATTTTTAATTATTTTAGCAAGAGTTTGCTCAATCATTACTTCAGTATCTATTGGAAATATATTCTTTGAATTGTAAATATCATTCAAGGTAGACTGTTTGCTCATTATATATACAGTTTTTAATATATCTAAAGCTTTATAACACCTTTCTAAATGATACTGTAAAATAAACAAATCAATGTTGCAATCTTCACAATTTTTCAATAAATTTATAACAGCCAAAACTTGGCCATAATACCAATTCTCTGCATAATTAATAGGCTTATCTTTGGTACTGTGCATAAATGTCAAAATATTTTGTACATAACAATATTTCACCATTTCAATTTCATTCGCATCCATATTATGTATGTCTATTAAATCTTGAGGTAATTCAACTTCTTTACTTAATGACAAACATTTCAGTCTCATTTCTTTGTTAAACACTTTCAATTCTTTTGTGCTCAGAATAACATAAAATATATTTTTTACAATTTCTTTGTTTTGTTTATAAAATACTTCTGGTAACTTCAAGATATCTTTGAATAGCTTATATATCTGGTCCATGTTAAAGACATTAATTTCACCCTTTTGATAAAGTATATAAGTAGAATTTATGAGGGCC